GAGACAAGAAGAGCTAGAGATCAGAACCTAGCTTTCTTATCCAAATTGGGCTGAAAAATGTTAACTGAGGAGGAAGGGCTGTGGGTGAAGGTGCTCAAAAGTAAGTACCTAGGAAGTGAGTTTTTATTTATCAAAAAGAAAGGCAAAACTACTTCGCATGTTTGGAAAGGTGTAAAGACCCAAATAAAATATAAAAATGTGGTGGTGGAAAATTATTTGAGAGGGTTGCTCACTTTCGGTGGAAGAAAATGATTAAAGAGAAAATAATGCACTCTCTTGTCTCTCTCTCGTGAGGTATGATGAGTAGGAGGAGGGGTTTGAATATTAATATATCTCCTTCTCTCTCTTCTTAGTTACAACCATTTTTCTCATCATTCATGAGCATTAGGACACAACACAGCATATCCAGAGAAATGGTGACCTTCACTCTCTTGCTTACAGCACCACTCTCCACCACCACGTCTTGGGTGTGGAGAAGCTCATAGAATCAAAGATGATGCTACCTGGTTCTAATCGCAGAATTCATGCTGTTCATCATCATTCTTCTTCGAGTTCTCCTCAATGGCATCTGAGATCGTCATTGCAGAGCCCACAAATGAAGGCACTAGCAGCAGTAGTAGTAGTGGTTACAAAAGAGGGTATATTAGCAGGAACACTAGACCTTTTACGAGATCAATCACTGCTAGTCATGATCGTGTCCCCGAGCTCTTTGACAGTGAGAAATTACAAGCTCGCCTTATCAAACTGCACTATCATTACTGGAGTAGTTGGACATAGGGAAAAAGAAAGAAGAGGCCTCGGGACAGAGCCTCGAGGGGGGAGGGGGTGGTCTACTATCTCTTTGGTTATTGCAGCAGTTCAGTTCTACATCCCTTCCTACATTGGATTGGAGACAGGCCAATAATTTTATATAAACACATAGGTTTGTATTCAAGGAGTTTAGGGAGCCACAAGAGAGGAAGAGTTATTTCTTCAGGAGTTTTGCAAATGCCCATGCGAAGAAGTTCAATAACAAGAGGAACACCTTGATTCATATAGATTTAGTAAAGTTGTAGAAGATCAACTGTTAGCATATGATTCTGACATTGTGGATGAGAGAGTGGACGATGTGCCATTTTTTTTTTACATGGAAGAATCACAAGAGCTGTTGTCTGTTCCTATGAAATTGAAGAGAAAAGTCAGACCAAAGAAAATGGACTTTGTTGGGTGGGGATCTAAGCCTCTCATAGAATTTCTTGAATCAATTGGTAAAGACACTAGCAAACAGATCTCTCAATATGAGGTGGCTGCAATCATCAATGATTATGTAAACAAAAATAACCTTATTCACCCCCAAAAGAAGAAGAGAATGTTTGATAAGTGTTTAGCTCAAGACCACCTAGCTTCAGCTCAAGACCATGCAGCTTCGTTTACATCAGCTGCACCAACCACAGTTTCATCTACATCAGCTGCATCACATACTATATCAGCTACACCAACCACTACTCTGTCTGCTATATTAGCTGCACCTACTACATCTGATACATCTGCTACAACTGCTATATCTTTAGCTACTGCAGATGCATATAGGAGCTCCGCTAAACCTGTTTTGTATGGTAATTGCAGATCAGCTATTGGTATGCATGATGAGAAACCAATACAAGCATATGGTTTGTGTGTCCATGAGATCATTTGTATATGTAACAAATTCACAACTGATTCTCAGCTGATTCTGTAACAAACTTAGTTAGAGCAAACTATATGTGTATATAAGTGAACTCGTGTAAGGTTGATTGATGTAACTGAAATGAAAAATATCTTTGAAAGATTTATTCTCTCTCTACATATCTTTCTCTCTTCCTACTTTCATTATGGTATCAGAGCTTCTCTAAGCTCTCACGAGCAACAATGGTGATCCAAACTAACAAGTCTTCCATGGCCGATCTGTCAAGCACTACTGTTTCATCTGAGAAGACATCACTACCTTCTAATGTGCTTCTGTTTGTCTCCAATCTGAATTCTCTAATAACAGTTAAACTTGAATCAACGAATTATTCTATATAGAAGAGTCAAATTCAGAATTTCTTCGAAGCTACTGAACTTTTTGGTTTTCTTGATGGATTTATGAGTTGTCCTACTAGAGTTCTCGATTCCAACAATCAAACTATTACTAATCCTGAGTTTTTGAAATGGAAACTTGTTGATTCTTGTCTGTTTAGTTGTCTCATAGCCACGCTTACACCTTCAATCTATTCATCAGTTCTTCATCTGAAACGTAGCATAGAGCTTTGGTTTGCTCTTGAGAAGCGATTTACTTCTCTGTCCAGATCACATACATATCAGCTCAAGAACAAATTAAGTACAGTCTCCAAGAAGACAAAGTCTATGGAAGTTTACCTTCAAGAAATCAGAGATCTTGTTGATCAATTAGCACTGGCTTGTTCTCCTATCTATGATGAAGACCTGATCCTTCTAGTTCTTAATGGACTTCTTGAGGAGTATAATGCTTTTAAAACTACTATTTGTGCTAAATCTGAAGTGCTTACTATGGATGAGTTGTGTGCTCTACTCTGTTCTGAGGCTATACATGTTGAACATTGTCATAAATATGGTAGCTCCTCTGATCTTACTGTTGCTTTTGCTGCTACACATGGATCTAACATTTTATCTCAAGGTTCCTCTGGTTCTGCTTTTACTAAGCACTTTTCTTTTCAAAACAGATAAGGTCGTTCTTCACAATATCAATATCGTGGAGGCAGATACAACAATAATCGAGGTCGAAAAACTGGAAGGCCTCAAAGCTATGGTTTGGTCTGTCAAATTTGTGGTAAAGGAAACCACTCAGCTCTTGAGTGTAGACATCATATGAATTCATCATTTCAACCTGTGTTTCCTTCCTATACTGTGAATCCTTCTGCTGGTACTTCCAATTTCAAGGCCTATTCTGCTCTAATACCTGTGAATTCACTTTCATCTTCTCCTCCATGGTATGTGGACTCTGCAGCGACATCTCATCTTACCAATGACTTGAGTAATCTTCAACTTTATCAACCTTATCAAGGTTCTGATCAAGTCATGATTGGTGATGGTAATACTCTTCCTATTCAAAATTCAAGAACTAGTATTTTGTCTACTCCTTCTTTTCACTTCAAACTTAATAATCTGCTTCATATTCCTCAAATATCTTCAAACTTGTTATCTGTTCATCAATTGACTTCTGATAATAATTGTTCTATTACATTTAATGATAAGTCATTTGTTGTTCAGGATAATCTCAGCAACAAGGTGCTATGTAGAGGTTCATACTACAATGTTCTTTACCATTTCCCTTCTTCATTTTCTGCTGCTCCTAAAGCCTTTTCTAGTACTAATTCTCTTGTTACTACTTGGCACAAAAGAATGGGGCATCCATCTTCTAATGTTTCTCATACTATGTCAAATAAATGTGGCTTTCATTTTTCTCATAAAGATTGTTCTTCTCTTTGTAATATTTGCTGTGTATCCAAAAGCCACATACTTCCTTTTGTGTTGTTTGCTAATAAAACTACATCTCCTCTTGCTTTAATTCATTCAGATGTTTGGGGGCCATTTGTTCAATCTGATTCTTTCAAATATTATGTTGTTTTTATAGATGATTTTAGTAATTTCACTTGGATTAATTCTCTCTCTTACAAAAGTGAGGTGTATTCTAAATTTTTGGATTTCAAAGATTATGCTGAGAAGCAATTCTCTGCATCTCTTAAGATCTTAAGGACTGATGGTGGAGGTGAATACACTTCAAGACAATTTCAGTCTCTTCTTCAGTCTACTGGTATTGTTCATCAATTGAGTTGTCCTTATACCCCATCTCAGAATGATGTGGCGAAGAGAAAACATCACCATCTTATTGAGACTGCTATTACCTTGCTTGATCAATCTTCTATCCCTTTGAAGTTCTGGTTTGAAGCTCTAGCTACAGCCACCTATTTGATAAATCGCATAGCCAGTCCTAAGCTGGGCTATCTATGTCCTTTTAAAGTCTTATACAAAACAACTCCAGACTATGCATTTCTCAAGGTGTTTGGGTGTAAATGTTATCCCTGGTTACGTCCCTATACCTCTCACAAGTTGGAGCCTCGATCCAAGGCTTGTGTATTTATTGGCTATCATCCCAGTTACAAAGGTTACAAGTGTTTGGATCCTCAATCTGGTACTGTTTATATCTCCAGACATACAATTTTTGATGAACTCTCTTTTCCCTTTGCTTCCTCACCTGCAACTCTTCCTTCTCTTTTTTCTTCTAAGGATGCTGTCACTTCTTTTTTCTGGGGTTCTACTCACTCTTCACCTACTAACCCCTATGCTTCTAAATTTTCTGCTTCCAGTTCTGCATCTTCTTCATCTGATAATTCTTCTGCTGCTAATTCTTCTGCTTCTACACTTCTTGCTTCCAGTTCTGCAGGTTCTGATTCTGTTTTACCTAATTCTGGTTTTGGTTTTTCTTCTTCTACATCAGCTTCTCGAGCTCCTGGTTTTATTTCATCTCCTATTTCTTCTTATCCACTTGGTATTCAACTTACTATTCCCATTTTACCTACACCAACCACTAATAATTCTCATTCTATGGTTACTAGAGCTAAAGCTGCTAAAGCTGCTGCTACTTAGTTTGGTCTTACTGCTCTTTCTTCTTCTTCCTCTTCTCTTACTACATTTGAACCACAATCTTATAAACAAGCTCTTCAATGTCCTCATTGGTTTAATTCTATGCTTGAGGAGTTTAATGCCTTACAAAAATCAGAATACTTGGACTCTGGTGCCATCTTCTCCTACATAGAATATTGTTGGCTGCAAATGGGTGTTTTGAATTAAAAAAGGGTTAGATGGTTCAATTGTTAGATACAAATCTCATTTGGTTGCTAAGGGCTATCTACAGGAAGCAGGCATTGATTTCTTAGAAACTTTCAGTCCAGTTGCGAAGCTACCTACAATCAGAGTTTTTATTTGTATTGCTCTTCACTATAACTGGCCTATTTAAAAATTAGATGTATCCAATGCTTTCCTTCGACAATCTTGAAGAAGATGTTTTCATGTCTCAGCCTCCTGGCTTTGTTCATTCTCAATTTCCTATCTATGTTTGCAAGCTTAACAAATCTCTCGATGGCTTGAAACAAGCTCCACGAGCTTGGTTTTTCACTTTCTCTAACTTCTTGCTTACCCTTGGTTTTGTTAACAGTCATTGTGACAATTCTCTGTTTGTTCAAGCCACTTCTGCCTTATTAACCTATCTTTTGGTTTATGTAGACGATATTCTAATTACTGGAAGTTCTCTTTCTCATCTCAAGTATCTTATTACTCAGTTACATTCAGCCTTTTCTCTTAAGGAATTAGGCAATCTCCCTTACTTTTTTGGCATCTCTGTTACTTCTACTTCTTCTAGTTATTTTCTGTCTCAATCTCAATATGCCTCTACTCTGCTCAAGCGTGCAGGCATGACATATTGCAAACCAGCTTCTTCTCCTCTCTCTGCTAAACCAACTGTCTCTTCTTCTGATGTTCCCTTCACTAACCCTGCTGTTTATCGCAGTCTTGTTGGTGGACTTCAATACTTGACTATTACTCGTCCTGATTTGGCTTTTGCTGTTAACCAAGCCTGTCAGTATATGCATAATCCTTCTCAAGCTCACTTTGCTCTGGTTAAGCGTCTGTTACGTTTTGTTAAAGGTTCCTTACAGTGTGGTTTGACTTTTTCCTCTGGTGCATTTGATCTTCATGTTTTCTCTGATGCTGTCTGGGCTGGTAGCCCTTGTGATAGGCGTTCTACCTTCGATTTTTGCATTTTTCTTGGTTCTAACTTGGTGTCTTGGGCTGCTAAGAAGCAACCCACTGTTGCTAGATCTTCTACCGATGCCGAATACAGGGCTATGGCTCTTGCAAGTGCTGAAGTTGCTTGGCTTCAAATGCTTCTTAAAGATATGCATATCTGTCCTTCATCAGTTCCTGTGCTTTGGTGTGATAACTTGTCTACTCTTTCTCTTGCTGCTAATCTAGTGTTTTACGCTCGAACAAAGCATATCGAAATCAATTATCATTTTGTGTGTGAAAAAGGCTCAACTAAGCAACTTCTGATTCGTTATGTGGCATCCTCTGATCAGGTGGCAGATATTTTCACCAAATCTCTTCCTGTGTCTCGTTTTCTTTTTCTTCAATCTAAGCTTTTAGTTGGTCTCCCACCTTTCAGCTTGAGGGGGACTGATAAGTGTTTAGCTCAAGACCACCCAGCTTCAGCTTGAGACCATCCAGCTTCGTCTACATCAGCTACACTAACCACAACTTCATCTACATCAGCTGCACCACCTACTATATCAGCTGCACCAACCACTACTCTGTCTGCTATATTAGCTGCAGCTACTACATCTGATACATCTGCTACAACTGTTATATCTTTAGCTGCTGCAGGTGCATATAGGAGCTCTACTAAACCTGTTTTGTATGGCAATTGCAGATCAGCTATTGGTAGGCATGATGAGAGACCAATACAAGCATATGGTCTGTGTCCCTGAGATCATTTGTATATGTAACAAATTCACAACTGATTCTCAACTGATTTTGTAACAAACTTAGTTAGAGCAAACCATATGTGTATATAAGTGAACTAGTGTAAGGTTGATTGATGTAACTGAAATGAAAAATATCTTTGAAAGATTTATTCTCTCTCTACATATCTTTCTCTCTTCCTACTTTCATTAGTGTAACGAGAGGCTTCATTATCTTTTTGGAAGGAAATCCGTGGTATGAATTAAAATATATGATTTGCTGGAAACACACTTCTTTGAAAATCAAGATGGATCAGAGGATGGATTTTTATACAATTTAGAGGAAAATGATGAGAATACCATGGCGATCAATAAACTACATAATTCAGATAATAAAAATGGTTTTAAGGGACCTCTACAGCCTGAAAATTTAGATGAAGCTGATCTATCCATGGATTGACACTGCCAAAATGAAGAGTTTGGTGAGAGCAACATTTTTGATCGGTGGAGATCAAAATCCGGCAAAATCGAAAATTTGGATTTTTGCTTGTTTTTCTCTTCTAGCTTGAGGTAGGGATTTTTTCTACACTTCTTTATGCACTTTTACTTGATTATATGGAGTTTAGAGTTGTATATAATTTAATTAGAATTTTTCAAAAAATTGTGATTTATTTGCTTAAAAGAGAAATTTTGAGAAAAATAAATAGTTGATGCCCAAATTGTGAAAGTGTAAACTTGGAATATGTTTGTAAGGTTATGAAAGAGCTATGTTTTAAATTTGAACAAAAACGGACTTCGACTCGATTGGTTTTGAAATTGTTACCGGTTTGTGACCAAAAGAGCATTTTTAAAGAAAACATAGGAATTACATTTAATTTTGGGGGCTTTTGATCAAAATAGGATGTCATAGTTGAATAATGCGTGGAGAATGAGTTTGGAAAGAAAATGATATTTTCTTGGGTGTTAACGATATTATTTTGCTTAATGTATCTGTTGGAATAAAACCGACACGGTTAGAAATGGACCTTTAGAGGTTACTGGATGTGATTTTGATATGAAAACTAGTGTAGTTGTTCATATTTGATGGGATATGGAATAGATTGTATTTATCAAAATTTTTATGGAATTTAATTGTTTAAATATCCGTTTAGAAATATCTGTTTTGGGCTATCGGTGGAGGATAGCAATTATTGTTGTAGAAATGCATGAGACTTAGGTAAATTGAACCACATTCTTCATTTGTTGCATTGGACATTGCATTACATTCATTTTATTGGAAATGTATCTATTTTTGAGAAATGTTTAGAAATATATTTGTTTCCGAAAAGATAAATACTTGGTGAATCTGGGTAGGGGGTGTAGAACCGCGCGGTTAGGTGTTGAGCCTTACAGTTTACTGGTAAAAATGACAGCGGCAGTGCATTAGGACCTACTTGCAAACACTCACCTAGAGATTCACAGAGGCCGTATTCAGGTAACAGATATAGTTTAAAATGAAAATGGTTTTATATTTGTTGTTGCATCTCAGCATTGCATGCATTATAAAAAGAGAGATAAACTGTTTTATCATGAGCATACTCCTCTTTAGTCTTGTCATTGTTCATATGTTATGTAGTATATCTCTATTGGGTTGTGGCTCACCCTATAAGGGAAATCATTTCAGGTACATGTGCTATGCTTCCACCAAGGCATTGACTTGGGAGGACTCGGAGCTGAGGCTTCATTTTTGTTTTATTGTTATTTGTTGAATGTAAGCCCAGGGCTATTATTGTGTTGAGTTGAAACTCCATTTTATGTAATCAAGAATATTCTTGAATAAATTTATAAGACTGTAGGGCACTTATTATCTGTTTGGCTTCCATTTCATATTTGTTGTAAAATGCATGTTTCGGATTGGAACTGGGGCATTAAGATGTGAACAACATGTATTTGGCATTTGGGATTTAGGATTTAATGGAAATGAGTGTATGGTTTAGTTAGCTATATATATGTATTTGTCTATCAGGTAAGTTTTGTTGCATAAATAAATATATCATGTCAAATTTTTGGGGCGTTACAAAAGGTATTTTGAATACCAAGGATATTCTCTCCAAAGGTATTAAATGAAGAATTGGGAAAATTTCTGAAGTCAAAATTTGGAAAGATTGATGGTGTAGGGATAAGGCGTTGCATGAAACAGCCATTAACACCACTAATCTTACTGATGTCCCTGAGTTGGCTGTTGTAGAAGATCTGTTGGATGTAGATGGGAAATGACCTTAATCTTATCCAAAATTTATTTCTATCTCAAATAGTGCTTGAAATATTGAAACTCCAACCACCCAGATATTCTCACGGGAAGGATAAACCTACATGGATGCACTCCAATGATGGAGAACACTCAACATCTAGTGCCTATGATCTTATTTTTAGTGAACCATGCCTAGAGGGTAACTGGAGTTGGATTTGGAAACTCAAAATTCCTTAAAAGCTTCCTATGGCTAATGCTTCTTGGAAAATTGCTAACCAATAAGATGAGTCTGATCAGGGGCCTTACATAAGATCCAAAATATCCCCACTGCAATGAAGTGGAGGACCTAAATCATATTCTTTCGTACTTGCTTTAAAGCTAAAATTATTTGGACCGCTATATTTGATAGGGAGTGGTACTTTGTCCATGTTTGGTAAAAATTTCAAAGCGTGGATTTGTTTTAACTCCAAAAAGAAAAACAAATTTTCTCGTTTATTTATTACCACTCTCTGGAATATTTGGAAAAATTGGAACAAAAAGATTTTTGAGGGAAAAAACTTTACTGTCCAAGAGAGTGTGGATACCATATTAGACTATTTCAAAGAGATTTCTCGGGCTTTTAGCATGGACATTGCCACCCCTCTCCTATCTAAAAGTCTAACAATTTGATCTTGTCCTAATGCAGGTACAATTAAGCTTAATGTAGATGGATGCACTAAAACAATGTCATGATTTGGAGAATTTGGTGGCATGTTCCCAGATGAAAAACACGCATAACTATCCTTCTTCAAAAAGGAATGAACAAAGTCATTGTGGAATCGGACGCGGTGCAAGTGGTTGCATTGCTTAATGATGGGCCAGATGACAAATGTCCATTCAAAGGACTAGTGGAAGACTCACGAATCATTTTGAGAGGTTAAATGCACCATCTAACATGTTGGAAGAGGAGGAAACATATGTGCTGACGCACTGGTGAAATTTGGAACTAACCAACTGGAGGACCTTGTTGTAGTTAACGATCCTCCTACTGAAATTCAAGGCTGCTTGTGGCAAACATTATGTAGGGGAGGGGCCTAGTCCCCTTGACTCTATGTTTTATTTCTGATATACCCAAAATAAATAAATCTCTCTCTCTCTCTCTCTCTTGCTCGCTCTCTTATTTATGGTTATGAATATACGCTCATAATTTATCAATTTAGATTTGATTTTTGATCTGATCTTTGTTAAACCTTTTATCAATTTTTAAAAACCTAGGGTTGTTAATTATGCAAATAGTGTCAAAATAAGAAAATTCTATGATACAGACTTCAAAAAAATATGTTTACCATATGTCCTCAATTATGACTTTTGTGGTCTTTGGCTATAACCTATTATAGTATTGGTAATGAGTCGCTGTGATACTGGTTATATGACTTATTATGATTGTTATTTGGTTGTCTCAATTAATATTTGATAAAGACACTTAGTTATGAATTGATTATGACTCATTGTCATGTTCATTATTATTGTTATTTCAGTTATAACCGAAGAGGCCTTTCATTATGTTTCAAGTGGTGTTTGATTATTATACATTGATCTTTTCAGTTATGACTGAAAGTGGTTTGATTATGACATCTGTATGGACATAGAAAAATACTGTATTTGTTGATGAAGAATCCAACAAAGAAGATGAATAAAGCCACCATGTGATTACCATCTACAAGATAAAGCTCCCACAGTCGTTGAACAGCTGAGAGCCGTCCGATGCCGAAGTCAGTCCTCTAATATTATAAAAATATTTAATGGAGTAATTCATAGAGAGAAATTGCATACCTCAACTCATAGGGGTATGGTCTATTTATAATAGCCAGTGACTTGCCTAGTAAGTAGTTTGAATGTTTCAAAAGTCCTATCTCAAACAATCTCTAGTTGTTTAGGACTCCTATATTGATAAGATTTCATTTCCTGATGAGTTTTGGACAATATAAAATACTAATCCACTATTTGATGAAGATTTGACAACTGTCATACATGTAATAATCCACAATTATGTCACGTGGCAGTGTTTGAACCCACATAATTCTTGTGGTTATTTTTATTGCCTAACTAGAATGATACAAGAGTGCTAGTACTTATTCCAAAATAATCTTAAATCAAAATAAAGCGTACCTTAATTCATTTATGATGTTGAATAATCTTACCATTTTAGTAGTGGGAAAGTCTTCTTGAGGTGTTTGGGTTTGAACCTGAGACAAGGCACTTTAGGTAAATTATGCCAAATATTAGGTTTATATTCTCATTCAATTTACCCCTCTTAGTCCCAAGTCCAGATATTTTAGAGTGAATTTTGTGGTCTTGCAATTTTTATTTTATGTTTTTTATTTTTAATTTTTTGTAGTTGTTATACCCTCAACTTTTGACTATCACACCTTTTATTTTTATATAATTAAATCGTAGTCATTTAAAAAATCACTCCGATATCACTTTAAGAAGAATGAATCTAAAAGATCT